GTAAATTTTTGTGATAGATGTTATTATTTTTTTTTTTTTTTTTTGGCTAAAAATGCTTATCTTTTATTCAAGGTTATACTCGCGTATGTCGTATTAAAAATATAAGCGAGAAAGAAAAAAACCTTAGTTAGTACTTTTGCGTCAAGACAAATGTAAAAAAAAAAAAAAAAGAAATCCCAGCTGAAATGACAAATTATGAAAATCCTCAGCTTACAAGACGGATTATTGGGTGTGGGGAAAAGTTCACGGGTTAATAAATGATGTTTCGAAAGAAACTTATACACGAGTTCTAATCTCTGACAAGTAGGTTTTTTTTCTGCCTCTCGCACCACCGGCCCACATATAGCACGTTTTTCGGCTGACGGGTGAATTATGTCCGTCATTCTTTCATGCCTTTCAACGGGAAACTTTATCCCCTGCAGCCTCGCGCGCGAGCACGAGTATAAAGAGGGTGAAAGAAGCAGAGGGAGAGAGAAAAAAAAAACAAAGCGGCGAATCAGTACTTCATAAACTGGAGTTTTTCTTATCGCATGACTTGTCGCGATTTTTATTGCTCAGCAAAGATTTCTGAGAGAAAGAGAGGATAAAAATCGAGCTCTCTTGCTGGCTTGGAACACAGCGCACAGCACACACACTCGCGCACGCACAGAGAGCAGTAGTAGCGGATAATATAAATTTTCGCGCTCGAAAAAAGTTCGAGACGATATTTTCTGTCCAGTTTGCTGATTTTGAGCGGGTTTGAAGAGGGTGGGCAGGGGGCAGGGGATGGCTCTAGATTATATCGCACGGGTTATAAGCATTCCATTGGTTAGTCACGTATAATTTCGAATAATTCAGAATGAAATTTTAATTAGTCCTGAGGTCGCCTTCTTTCTCTCTTTTTTGCGGAAAAATAATGAGTTCGCGCGCTATATATATGATACGAATTCACATTTTGAATTTACGACTTTGAACATGTACGTGCAGCAGCAGTAGTGCCGGGGCGATAAGTAAAAAATGTATATCCACTCCGGACTAGATACAGAGAATTCTCATTTGATCGGGAATAATTACGAAAACCGAAGGTTAAATCTAGAGCGTGGCAGGCGTCGCCTAGATATATCCAGCAAAAGAGCATGTCACAAAAAATATTCGCCTCTTTCTGCTGCTACTGCTGCTGCGAGAGCTCAAATTTATTACGTCGTAGATACATCATAGCGCACACGTACACACCTTAGTAAAAAAAAAAAAAAATTACACGTATAGGTATACGCGCATAAAGTGATCCGTCGGAAAAGTCGCGATGTCATCTAAGCGCATATAAAGCCCGAAAGCTACTACTGCTGCACCGCATCAGTCATATATTCTGCACTGCCTCGAGGCTCGCAGCGGGTGCACTGCGCACACATACGTATATATACGTGAGCGAACGATGTATATCTCGTTGTTGTCAGTACACATATATGTGTATATACGTAGCATCAAGGCCATCCCCAGAGCTGTACACGAGGCTGGTGGCTGTCGTGGCGCGCTTCATGAAACGCGAAGGATTTTCGCTATACTTTTCGTCTGTGTACAAGGTATACTAGAGACGAGTGCTGCGAGCCGTATAAAAATTTAGTACACGAGCTGAGCGCGAGATCAAAACGTGTACATGTATTACAAATCCCCGAATGTAAAAATGAAATACTTCGTGAGCTCGATATCGTAGTTGGCGTCGTCATTTTTCGTCACGCGTAGTATTTCTATGCTTTTCACGCGATTAATATATTTCATTAAATCGCATGAGATTTAATTCTTAAACGAAGATGCTATATTTACCTCACAGATTTGTAAAAATATACGAGTCAGGGTCTTTTCTGATTAAGCTCGAATGTATTTTTTTTTTCATTCCATTTCTCTTTTTACGTACCAATTTATTTAATTTACAATCCTCGCCGAGCTGGAAGTTTCAATTTATTTTCATCGTCAACAATATGGTCGGGTATATATAACGCTCTACGTGCTGTATACGCGCAAACTACACTACACAGCAGCGGCAGCAGCCTCATGCACACAATCCGATAGCCGCAGCGCAGTCCGCATTTCCTCCCTCGTTAACAATTTTTATGCGGTCAGTTGAATACGCGAGCGTCGCGATTAATTCGTATGCACGCGCGCGTGGAGGAAAAAAATTTCTCCAATGCATATAGCTCAGCGCGTATTATATGATGGAGGGAAATTTTTATTTGCCCTTCCAGCCCGTAACCCTAGATTTCGTTACTAAACATGTGATACAGATTATGGAATATTTTCGGTCTAAAATATTATATAAAACGCGAGACTTGCTACGTATAATCGAAAGAGAAAAAAAACGACGAGCTTCTGAGCTCGCGCGATCCGGAAGACAAATAATAATACAGGTGGACGCTGAGCTTAGAAGACGAGAGACGACAAAAGAAAGGAGAAGAGAAAAAAAGCTGGTGTACGTATACGGGTCATCAAGTTGTCGGGAGATGTTCAACGTGACTCGAATTCACCTGTATATTTTATTTTGTCTTCTCTGTCGTTACGATCAGGTAGCGCGCGGGGTGTGGTATACACGATGATAGCGTGCACATAAACCGCCCCAACGAGAGAGCGAGATACCGGAAATTTTTCAGTAAAACCACCAGCTTCTTTATTTTTTGTAGCTTCGTTACGCTTTTGTCGATCATTATTTTTTTTTCATGATTCCGTAGTCAATTTTAATCGAGAGAAAATTTCTTCAAATTTTCCCATTATTTTCTGAAAATCGACCTTCAACTAACATTTACAATTCAAAATCGATGCTCTCCCGATTCATTCGACGGGGCATAGATTGAAATAACAAAGAGAATAGATTAAATTCAAGCTCTCGTACGCTATCTTATTCCCACGCGTGCAATGCTCGCTGCTCCTCGGCATGAATATTCATGCGCGGCTCGTTGGTAAACATCTCTACCTCCATCCCGAGGCTCGCTTTTTAACCGGTGGAGCGAGAATAAAGACGCGTTACAGGTTACATTTGACCAAAAAAAGTAGAAGGAGGAAGAGAAAAAAAATCGTGGGGTCGTTTCGCGTTATGTGGTACCTTTGTTCCTGAGGAGGTCCACTCACGCTCAAGGCGAAGGATTTGCCTCCACGTACGTGTAGTATACGTATACACAAAACGAACCGCGATGCCTTTCTCTCCAGAGACGTCGCATAATACGTTTTCCTATTCTTGATTTCGTGCTCCTTTTTTCCCGCGACGTATGTATGGCCCATGCAGCACGACATATAAAATCCGCTTTCTCGGCGCGACGTATAAATGTTTCACTGCACCGAGCAGTGAGGTACACACACAATACATGTATTAATAATCTCCGGCCGCGGCGCCGAGTCACGCGCCGCGCTGAATATTCATACACCGCACACGGTGCACTGCTGCACCACTACTACTGTTTGACCACACAAATATTATACTCGAAAATGAAATTTTCGTTCGTTACAATATATCGCTTGATAAACGCGTTGATTTTCGACCAAAAAAAGAAAGAAATATAATCCGCGCGAATCGTTGCTCGGTTTGCGAGGGGCCGACACCTATGATACTATATGCAGCGAGTCTGTGATAGAAGTCAACGAATGGTCGGACACTCCGGGCGCGCGCGACGCGCGGTTATTCTGGGCAGCGCGCCAAAATAGATACCTGCGGGTTTTTAGCCTGAATTTCGGTACGAGCTTCGGGGCTATATGTATGTATGTACTCTTCCCTCGCAAAATATCAAGCCACACGACCCCGACGACGTTCAAAACCATTGTAGCAATTAATATTATGCAGCTCGTGCGGCACTGGCCATGCAAATATGACCACGCGCTCGCGCGATGAATGTGCAGTTGACACGTAAATAGTACAGTATATTGGAATGAGCGCGGTTTATTTTGGGGAAATCGATTAGTTTTTCATTATTCTATATAAATGTATTTTTCGCGCCTTCGTTCGTGCTCGGGGCATTTAATTAACGCCTTTTGAACGTGACGATCTTACACGCCTTCATCGAAATTGAAAATTATAACAAATTGAAAAATAAACGTTTTCACGCAGCCTCTAGCCTGCCTATTTTTGAGCGAGGAAATCCCCCGATTTCTCGCATCCTCAATCACAAGTCCATTGTGCATAAATTAAGCGTGTATGCGACAGCCGCGTGGCAATAAAAGCACCTGCAGTAGCCGAACAGCTGATTTATACGAATTATTTTTCAACGTGAGTCGGTACGAGAGCTCGGGGTAAAATTGGAGTTCTAACACCGGTGCGCGTCGATTTTTCTCCAAAGTACCAAGCGCAAGTCTGTACATCGTTTCTATGTATGTATCTTATCGCTTTGCTGAGAAAGAGAGATTCTTATCCGGCAGTCGTCGTCGTCGTCGGAGAGTTTTCGGAGAAAATTCGCGCGCTCGCGCCACACATAAAAAAACTCCTAAGCTTCGGGCTCTCGCAAGGGGATCACTTGAGAAATCGTGTTTACTGATAATCCGATATAAAAATTCGCTGCCTCGATCGAGCGTATATCATGTATCGTGTCGCAATGTGGGTTAGTTTGTTTTTTCTTTTTTTTCGTTTTTTTCACCCTCTATTGGAGCGGTACACATTTTAACAAAAGTAGCTTATTTCAATTGCATTGAATCGAGATTATCGGATTACCGTAGTTTTTGTTTCCGTTGCGAACAGCAAATTACGCTAATGAGTATTATGTTTTCCAATAGAAAAGCTATAAAGTATGAGTGAAACATATTTTTTTGTTTTGATAGTACGACTGCACTGTTGAAACTATACGTTTGGAAAATTTAAAAAAAAATTGTATGAAGTATGTTTCGCTGCAAGCATGATATTCATTGATATAATTAATTCTGAACTTTAATATACGAAAATCATTCAGCTACTTAATGATTTTCAAAATTTTGCAATTACTTTAAATAATCACTTTTACTTTGAGTTCTAAAATGAAAAATGTTAATTTTATTGGAAATAAAGCTCTTACTTGTACAATTATCTATGAGTTGTCACTTGCGGTTTGCACGTCATGATTCTCGCCACCTAGCGGTAAAAATGGACATTAGCTATTATTGAAATTAAATTAATTTTTTTATTTTGTAAAAATTGTATAAATGTTAGAACAATTGTAACTTAAAGCATACACCAGACCACAATACATCAGATTAATAATATTAACACAAAAAAGTGGATTAATAACACATTAAATTTAAGTTAATTTCCAACGGTTTAATTTTGAATTACAGCTGCGCAAAAAATCGCATTTACTGAATTTCGAATTTATGTTTTCAAGCGCTCTGTGTATAGACACACTACTATATAGTATTCAGTGTGCAACGAATACAGGAGGTGCAGAAAATCAAACTTGCGAGCTATAGTGCGTAGGCATGAATGAGAAAAGAAGGTAGCATATGGCTCAACACACATGTACACACACACTCACACAAACGCATCAGGTGAATTCTGACAGCTGACGAATGAGAATAGAGAAGCTGCTGCTGCTGCTGTAGTTTGAAAATAAAAGAAAATCGCGGAACAATTTTTCGTCGTTCCTCGGCTTGCTCTTTATATTCACACACATCATAGTCGAAAACTGCGCGATGAAAAAAAAGAAGGAAAGGAGTGAAAAATTTTTTACACGAAACAAAAGCGCAAGCCGCAGCAGCAGCAGCAGCAGCAGCAGCGCGAGCAATTATGCAGAGAGTTGAAATTTTCGCGCTCGTTTGACTTGGCCGTTTTATATATGCAGTCGCGTCTAGTATATGTGTGTAGTAGCAGTAGGTATATATAGGTGCGGAGTGCATAACTACAGCTGCGAGCTCGAGTATATATTTGCTTTTGCTCGAGATGATTTATTCCGTCGCGATTTCGATGATTGCGCACGCCTCGAATTTGATTCTCGCGCGTGCACATCCTTTTTTTTTTTATTTTGTCGTCGTCGTCATCGTCGTCGCTAGTTCTCGCTCAGCCCGAGATAAAAAGGAGGAAAAAAAGCAATCTCCAGCGAAACGACGCTTCTATAATTCATATTAAGTCATAACTTATTTGTCTTATAGTGAAAATTTTGCATGCATTTCTCTCTCTCTCTGTCTCTAGCAGTGCAGGTGCGCGAATGCACTTTCAAGTGAGCGAGAGAGAAAGAGAGAGAATTGCTATGTGTATAACGCGAAGAGGTGAAAATCTGCATTATACGCATTCGAGAGAGAAAGAGAGAGGTAAAGAAGCTCGAAGATGAGGGGGTCGAGAGAAGAGATTTTTTCCGCTCAACATGCTAAATAGTCTTTGCTGCTTTGAAATTCAAATAACAAACTTTTTCACCTGCACTATGCTTTCTCTCTCTATCTATTTTTTTCTTTGCTCCTCTCTCCAAAATAAAAAGACGTTCAATTTATTACAGATGTTATTTGATGAGCGAGAATATGAAATTCATATGCGTATACAGCGGCGTGAGTATTATTCATTAAACGTACGCTCGAAGAAAAAAGAAAAGGAAAATAATAATAACAATAATAATTCATAAGCGTATATCTCGGAGAAATAGCGGGGGCTGGTGGCGTGGCGCTCACGTACCAACGTATAACAATATATACGTCGACCGCGGGCGTGAGTGTCGCCGCGGGGCGGGTAATTTGCCAACGCACGAAACTTCGGGGGAGGCCGGAAAATTAGTCTTATTCAGCAGAAAGCGCAGCAGGAGCAGCAGCAACCCCCTTAAGTGTTTGCGCGCCTCCTCGTGCATATCTATCTACGTATACGTATATGAACTATCTAATTTCTCAATTAATCGGGAGTGTGTGTGAGTGTGAGCGTGTAACGAGACTCTCTCGTTCTCTCTTGCAATTTTGCGCGAGCCGGGGGAAACTCGAGGCGATCGTGTGCGATGCGCAGCGATTTCGATACAATTACAGTCGAGCGAATAGTTTTACGAGAGGCTTTTTTGTTTGTATCGGTTCTGAACTTTCCGACGCCGAAGACGTTCATCACAATTACATTATTTTTCAAATTTCTTCAGAATTTCGCTCGAATCTTTGTTATGCTCTAGAATGAGCTAGGAAGCTCCAATCGAAGTTTTGCGACCGTCAAAATTTATTAAAATTTGACAAGGAATTCGAAAAAAATTTTTTCAAATTTTTTTACCGGAACCTCTGGGTTCCAGGAACCGTTTTTCATAAAAATAGCGTTTTTTATCCATAGATGCTATCGCCTTCAATTAAAAAATTTGAAAAAATTCAAGGTTATGTATTTTGACCTGAAAAACAAGAAAAAAATTTTTCCAGATTTTTTAAAGCTTCATATCGCCCTAAAAAAATTATTTTCGTAAAAAAAGGGCGTTTTTCGGCTAAAAACCGCCAGCGCTCTGCCTGAAAAAATCTGAAAAAATTTGAGGTTATGTATTTTGATGTCAAAAATAAGTGGAAAAAAAGATCGGGCTTTGTATTGCATCGTAGCGCCGTATATGAATTTTCAAAATTTTCAATAATTTTTTCTGAAGGCCTGAAGCACTCAAAAAATCTGAAAAAATTCAAGATTGTTTGGATTGTTGAAAAGTATTTTTGTGAATTTTTTCAGATTTTTTATTTGCTTCAGGCCTTCAGAAAAAATATAGATAGAAAATGGACGTTTATACCGGAAGTGGGGGGTAGGAGGGGGGAGGGGGTCTAAAATTTTGGTTTTGGGTCTTTTTTACCATGTACTATAACATACCAAAAGCGCGTCAAGATCGGTGACATACGAGCGCAGGTTTATTTAAAAAATTCTGAGCCTTACCCATATATATGTCTCTCTTTTTATATTCTATTATTGCTTTTTTATTTTTTTATTTTTCATCGTCACTCATAAAACAGTTGAAGCGCTATCAACGGCTTCGGGTTGGTCGAGTTACTTTTGACTCAAATCGTAATGTATTAGAGATACAGTGATATGTTTCTGAAGCATGACTAAAAAAGTAAGCAAATAAGCGTATCGTACAGGTACACAGTTGTACGGAAAAAGTATATGAATTTCAATTATAATTAACGAAAACTTTCATCTCTAGGTGGCAACTATCTTTACCGCACACGTGGAAATGGCACAGTAAAAATAATCATACGAGTTATGTTGTTGAGACTACTTTTTGATATACTTATTGTTTTCCAGTATAGTATTACTGTTATACTTACTGTGGACAATGGAAAATAGAAGTAATTTCAATTTTGTTACCGGTAACTAATCCGTCCTTTCAGTCGAAATAGAATGTTCTTGTCTTATGTGAAAAGTGAGTGAATCGCAGACAATCTCGCTGGCAAAAGAAAATCACGTCCGGTACTTGGTTACCCGAACAGGATTATTTGTTGGATCAACGCGAAAGCACGAAATATCTACGGCCGCATCGAAGTCTTTGAATTCGTATAAACGTCAGTTGCGCGTCAAAAAATGATTATCACACGCACGCTCGTGTTGCCGGAAATGCGGCAACGTGTACTCTGTAAAAAATTGTTCTTATTAAGATTAAGGAAATAAATTGAAAATTCAGTACCATAAATTTGTGTAAGGTACTCGTCCCGAAAAGTGTTACGTATGGCACTCCTATCGTTGATAACTATATTTTACGCTCACGCCCCCTGTGGATAATCATTTACCATAAGTCTCAAGTCATCAGTGAACAATCATAATCACATACCCTTCACGGTCATTAAAAGAGAAGAAGATATATTTTTACTTATCACTATTGTGGCAATCGCGCACCACTACGCGCGTTATGCAACATAATTCTGAGCGAAAAATTACAGCTCTCCAACACTGCTCATCCAAAAACTTTATCATTTTTATTGTAGAACCTTATGAAATTTTAAGTTCATCTTAATTTTAACTTACAACCTAATTCAAATGGAAATTTTTTCATTAAACGAACGATATAGCATACCGAATAGCCGTGACAAAACGAAAATATGTCAAAAATGCCAAAACAACAACAAAAAATATATATTATCAAAAAAAAGTATGAGTAGGCGGTCGTAATGTCATCATGTTAAACGTTAAAAAATTTTGTAGTAAAATTCAAAAAAGTGCAATTTTACTACTGATAATAATTTTTCAAGCTGACAAAATGAATGAAAAAATTGGTTATCTTTCATTCCACTAACAGTAGACCTTGATTTCTTAACACAAAAAAAGTCAAAAATCCGTTAACGCCTAACAATGATTAATGCGAAAAATGATTTTGCCAAAAAATATCACCTATCAAGCATGATAACTGTTTCATCTGTCAGTCACTTCTGTACAATCAAATACGTGCGTTTTCAATGTAATATAAAATCAAGACAAAAAAGATTAGGAGCTCAGTGTCGTTTTGGCTAGCAACGAGCTAAGAGCAGCAGGCTTAATATCAACGAAGATGTCGACATTCGCGACGTTTTGGGCCGTCGTCGCGGCTCTAAACAGTGTAATTTTACTCGGCTCGATTTCGCGTGTCAGTGCCTATCACAGTTTATCGTTCAAAGGCGACTCATCATCAGAATCGTCGTACGCTGAGAGTTCCTTCGAAAATACCACTTTTGTCTTTTATAGTTCTTGCGATTATAACCCCAGAAGGAATACCGAGCCGAAGAAATGTATTGTGCATCGAATACAGGACGATTTCTCGGGAGGCAGTCTAAAAGAGGATAAGTGCAACGTCACGCTGCATCCCGAGTCCGGTGGCTTCATCGGCGTTGGTGAAGTTTGTATCACTCCTATGGGCAAGGATCGAGCGATTCTTTCTTGGTTAGAGGAAACCGGATCCCAAGAGTTTTGGAAGCTTAATTTGCGATTCAGTATTGTCAATTTTTCAAATTGTGAAGTCAAAACGACAAGACTTTCGGAGGATATTGAAGAAAAAAGCCTTCCATATTATGCTTATTCACGTATTCATAGTACTCATTTAAACGGTATAGATCTCAAAAAAAAAGAAGATTTAGATGTTTTTCTATTAAAATCGATGAGCATTCATATATCGTCGATCAATCCCGAAGGAATTGTTTCGAAGGTCGATACTTTGCTCTCTTACCCAATTGAATTTTCGGACG